GAAGGAGTTTACCATTCTCAGTTTTCAAAGCCCTGAGTTTAAATGGCCTCATGAGGTAAGGAGACAAGGCCTTGGGTCCATACATTTTGGGAAGCGTGAGATGCATCACATATATTTGCCACCCTCACCAAAAAGGTGAGCCTGAAAATCTCCACACCCTGAAATGATCATGACAAAGAAATGTATCTGCTGTGGCCTTGGCTCTAGGTGCAGGGGGGAAAGGGCCCCCAAAATTTGAATAACCATATCCTTCTGACAATGAATTTAAATCACCTGGGCTGTCCAGAAACCCCAGAGCTAAGAACGACTCTAGAGGGGTCTTGGGTTGAGGGCAGCTAGCAGAAGGTAAAAGTAAATCCTTTTTGGAGGTTTGCACACTCAACCAAAGCTTCTCGAAATTCCACACATAAAGCCCAAAGGCCGGCCAGGCACGGTGGCTCAAGACTGTAATCCCAGCACTTTGGGAGGCCGAGGCAGGTGGATCACGAGGTCAAGAGATCGAGACCATCCTGGTCAACATGGTGAAACACCGTCTCTACTAAAAATACAAAAAATCAGCTGGGCATGGTGGCGCGTGCCTGTAATCCCAGCTACTCAGGAGGCTGAGGCAGGAGAATTGCCTGAACCCAGGAGGCGGAGGTTGCAGTGAGCCGAGATCGCACCATTGCACTCCAGCCTGGGTTACAAGAGCGAAACTCCATCTCAAAAAAAAAAAAAAAAGCCCAAAGGCCGTGAGCTCACAGCCCCAGTCACAAACACAAGTGAACAAGGTACCATGAGCAAAAGGCAACAGAAATGACCGCCACCAAGAAGCCAGGTCCCCAGGAGCACCAGATAGAGGACTTATCCCATATAGAATATATAATGACCCTGTTTACACGATTTAAAGAAATAAAAGGGATTCAAACACATATACAAAAAATAAGAGAGTTAGCCATGCATGGTGGCACACACCTGTAGTCCCAGCTACTCGGCAGGCTGAAGCACAAGAATTGCTCCAGCCCAGGAGGCAGAGATTGCAGTGAGCTGAGATCGCACCACTGCACTCCAGCCTGGGCCACAAGCAAGACGCTGTCTCAAAAAAAAAAAAAAAAAAAAAAGACAGTATCAAAAAGATCAGACAGACTTGAAAAAAGAAACACAGTACTTCTAAAAATAACAAAATAAAATAAATGGTGGAAATTAAAACTCAATCGATAGGTTAAAAAAAACAACTGAAAGAATTAGGCGATAATTTCCTGGGCCTGGAAAATTCAGGTTATTGCCTTGAGAATGTTTAGGCTAAGAAGCACCCAGCTGGATCTGTGACCCTTGGAGCTGGGGTCCTGCAGCAGCACTGGTTGTGTGCAGGTCAGAAGGAACATTCACCCTGTGTCAAGTAGGACAGAAAGGATGACCCTAGCCCTAGAGTTCCCATGGACTTCTAAAACAAAAGTTTTTTTTACTCTTTAAAAATTTGTTTGATTTAAAGGGGCTTAGAACTAAGGTCTTCAGAAGCCTTCCACATAATTTTCTACTTAGGAGAAGATATCTTCCCCTTAACCGAATAAAAAAACATCTGAAACTTGATGTGCACAAATGTTTCATGTTGAAGTCTGCAGGTGTGTGCGTATGCATATGTGTGTGTGTAAATTTTAAAGTAAGACTTTACTATGCTTTAACAGAATATTTTGTTGAAAACAGAAGAGATGGGAAGAATTATGAACAGCAAAATACACAAAGATCTTACCCAAAACTCAACACAGAGACAAAATAAAGGAAAAATATGAAAAAGAAAAGCAAATATGCTGATGGATGGAATGAGAAGACTGGAAGCACAGTGACTAGGAATTCCATAAGGAAGAATTATCCAACATTCAATGGCAGGAAATTCTCCAGAGCTGACGAAAGATACAAATCCCCAGATTTACGAAAGAAGTGAATCTCAAGCGAAATAGCAAAAAATGAAGCCCAGGTCACATCATTGTGAAACTAGATCACCAAAACAAAGAGAAGGTCTTAGGAGTAGCCAGGGAGGAAAGACAGTTTATCTGTAAGGGCATAAAAATCAGACTGTCAGCAGAGCTCTCTCATTGACAGTCATAAGACAGAGGTACAATATTTTTCAAGCATGAAAAAATAACTGTCAACCTAGACAACCTATCATTCAAGAACAAGGACAAAAATAAGATACTCTGCCCTCCTTCTCTCTCTCTCTCGATCCATATATACACATATATGTCCTTGTTCTATGTCCGTATAGTTTACTGCAGCTCAGTTAAAGCATTCCAAGGTCTTAGAGTGCTGTGGAGCTGGGCAATACGGCAGACAGTTGACTGTCTCCTAGAGTGTGTTCTGCTCTTCTCTTTGTCCTTCTAGTAATAGAATCCCCCCACCTTGCATTTTAACTGGGCACACCAGTTAGAGACTACATTTTCCAACTCCCAATTGGTATGGTTTAAGGGGTGAATGAGAAGGGAGAAATCTGAGACAGAGAATGAAGACAAACTATCAAGAAGAAATAGGAGACAATAGCTGGAGGGGAACATGTATTCCAGAAACAGTTTTGCTTTTTTTTTTTTTTTTTTAAGATGGGGTCTCACTGTGTTGCCCAGGATAGTCTTGAACTCCTGGCTTCAAACAGTCTTTTCTCAACCTTCTGAGTAGCTGAGATTACAGGCACAAGCCACCACACCTGGCTCAGTTTTGCTATTTTTAAAGACAATTATACTACAGCAGGTTTGTTTATGTGTATGATCCAATGAGAGAGAGAAAAAGTTGCAAAATAGACAGGGGAAGCTGCAAGAGGGAAAGCTGAAAGAAGGAAGGTCCAGAACTTGTGTGGTAGCAGAGATGGGGCTTTGATAGAGCTGGGACCTACCCAATTAGATAATCAGATAATTTGCCAGCATCCATGCCATCTCATTGCATTTTAATAATTCAATTAAACATCTTGAACATTATTTGCTTTTCCTAAAAGGAGAAATTCTGTACTCTTTCAGAGTAGGCATCATTGATGAGACTTAGAATCTCCAGGTAAAAGATGATTCATGTTTAAGATGCAAACCAGAGTGATCCCAGACAATGGGAAATGTTGAAGAACAGGGTTTGAGGGTACCCAAAATGTGTATGTGAAAGCACTTAAGCAAAGATGCCTAGGTTCATTGCTGGTTATTTTTCCCTGCTTTTCCATAATGCAGATCTGAGAATGAGTTCTCTGAAGGTCAGACAAAGGACTCACAGAAGAAAGTTGTTGAGGAGGTAATAGGACAAAGAGATAACTCTGTGAGGATGTCCCATGTGTGGGACCCTCAGAAAGACTGAATAAAAGGTGGAGGTGCTAACAGAGCCAAAAGTACCCACACCTTGAGCTGACAGAATGAGGCAAGGGACAGGGTGAGAGGGAATTCTTCTGGTACTATAATTTAGTAAGGACTTTCTGAAACTCCAGTAGTGTTGAGATTAAGCAGTTTTGGTCTAGTGGCAACTTCATGGGAAAGAGCCAGAGGGAAAATCAACTTGCATTTGACATGAAACACATACTCTGTGGGTATTCATCAGAGTAAATTATATGCATTGGGGATGTTCAAAAGCACTTCCTTTTTTTTCCTTAATGAATATGTACTGTTGGATAACATTGTACTGCCTTCTCGGCTTTTAGTAACAATCAACAATTTCTGATGCCTATAATCTAGCATTTAACTGTCTATACTTATGATGAAATTGAGGATACATACACATTACCATAATCCCCAGGAATTGCATATTATTTCCTACCAATCCTTAGTTCCTTGCTCCTCAGCAAAACGCAGGATTCCAGCCAGACTGGCGGGCAATGCCGTGGGAGAGCCCAGTGCTGGGAAGAAGACCCAGCCTCAGGGGGAGCCTGGGAGGCCCGTTGAGCTGGCCCGGCTGCCGGCCAAGGAATGGAAGCGCCAGACTGCGAAGGTGCTGGGGCAGAGGGGTAGAAGAGGGCCAGGATGGGCATTTCCACACCTTTCTCTGTCACCTTGAGAACATGGGACATTTGGCTATTAATAATCAGTAGCTGTGTCCTGCTATCCTGGGAAGCCTGGGGAAACCATGACTAGGAGGACAGCCTCCACGTGGAAGGCAGCTGAGCTGGAGGGAGTGACGGTTGCAGCCTGGCCCGGGCCTTCCTCCTCTTCCTGCAGGGCCTCCCTTGGTGCTTTTCTCCATGGCTCTGTGTTGAGCGTGCAGAACACAGGCACGTGAGGCCCTCTGTTTACAAGTTGGAAAGAGCCAGGTGGTTCTAATAGGTCTTTTTTAAAGGAGAAGGCTGTAATCCCAGAACTTTGGGAGACCGAAGTGGGTGGATTGCTTGAGCTCAGGAGTTCTCCACCAACTTGGGAATCATGGCAAAACCCCATCTCAACAAAGGATACAAAAATTAGCCCGGTGTGGTGGCATGTGCCTGTAATCCCAGCTACTAGGGAGACTGAGGTGGGAGGATCACTTGAGCCCATGAGGTCAAGGCTGCCATGAGCTATGATCTTGCCACTGCACTCCAGCCTGATGACAGAGTGAGACCCTGTCTCCAAAAAAAAAAAAAAAAAAGCAGGCAAGGGAGCCCTGCCATGTACCCAGCTTCTTCTCACAGCAAACCAGGGGGCAGGTAGCACAGGTGCAATCACTCACATTTCAGAGAAAAGGCACTGGAGAGGTAAAGTGATTTACTCCCAGTCAGTGGCAAACAGGGATCAGGCTCCAGGTCTCTGGGGTCATCTCAAGGACTGGTTCCATCAGGGCTTAGAATTGGAAGTTTCTTAATTAGCAGATGTGCCTTCATGAAGATGTGAAGGCAGGAACCTGACATTAATTGCTACCTCCTCAATTATGCTTTCATGAGCCAGCATCCAAGAGTGACTGACCACCTAACATAAGCAGTTTTATAGAACTGTAACTGAAAATCGTCATTTTAATGTCCATATCTTGACCAGCATAGACCTAATGCACTACCCAGGTAGTTTATGAAAGTGCTTCCCATTCTGTGTTCACAGACTTGGAAAGTGGGCAGCAGTCCTGAAAATTGTACATATTCTGCAGAATTAAGAGGATCTGACAGCAACGGATCACAAATACAGGAGCATCACACGTTATGACCTCATCACATGTTATGTCAGTCCTGAGTCTTAGCCCAAGCAGACACTAGTAACCAAGATAAAAATGGGTGGAGAGACACAGAAAGGAGGAAGACTCCACAAATCCATTTCCCATCAACTGGTTCTTCTGTCACTTCTCCCTGGCCACAGACACTTTTGGCTTCTATTTCAAATAGTGTGGAGGGGATGCAGAAAGAGCAAAGACCCAGCCTCTTCCCATTGGGGGGCCTGTGGGAGAAGTCTAAAAACTGCTCCTGTGTCAACCTCCCATCCTGGCCTGAAGGAAGGGAAGGAGCCCTCCAACCTTGGGTGGCCTATGCCATCTTCCCCTTTCCACAATCCCAGCTCCTCCTGCCCAGATTGAAACTCCTACTGTCAGAAGCGGGGTAGGTCGAGGAAAGGGATCACTAGGAATAAACTTGATGAGGAACTTCCAAGGCACCTCATGAACAGGCGTTAGTTTATTGTCATGAGCTAATAATTGCTTCTTTAACAAGTTTTTAAGGAATTTCTGCTGCAGACTCAGTGCTATGGGAGGCACTGCGGGGCCACAGAAACTTCTAAAGGGCTTGCGAAGCAGTTAAGGACAGGATATGCATATGGCACAGGAAGCTTCAATGGATAACACCAAAAAATATAACGAAGCCACAGACTGCAACAGGAACCATAAGAACAACTAGGGAATTAAAGAGAAAGGGACCAGCTGAGCCCAGTGGCTCACACCTGTAATCCCAGCACTTTGGGAGGCTGAGGCGGGCAAAATCACCTGAGGTCAGGAGTTTGAGACCAGCCTGACCAACACGGTGAAACCCTGTCTCTACTAAAATTATAAAAATTAGCTGGCATGGTGGTAGGTGCCTGTAACTTCACCTACTTGGGAGGCTGAGGCAGGAGAATCACTTGAACGCAGGAGGCGGAGGTTGTGGTGAGCCAAGATCGCGCCATTGCACTCCAGCCTGGGCAACAAGAGCAAAACTCCGTCTCAAAAAAAAAAGGCTGGGCCCAGTGGCTCATACCTGTAATCCCAGCACTTTGGGAGGCTGAGGTGGGCGGATCACCTGAGGTCAGGAGTTTGAGATCAGCTTGGCTAACATGGTAAAACTCCATGTCTGCTAAAAATACAAAAATTAGCTGCGTGTGGTGGCATGTGCCAGTAGTCACCACTGCTTGGGAGGCTGAGACAGGAGAATCACGTGAACCTGGGAGGCAGAGGTTGCAGTGAGCTGAGATTATGCCACTGCATTCCAGCCTGGGCAGTGGAGCGAGACTCCATTTCAAAAAAAGAGAGAGAGAGAGAAAGGGACCAAAGAGGGCTTCCTGGCACCCAGGAGGAATTCACAAAAACATTTCCAGAGCAAAAAGTGAAAGTGTCTGTAAAAGGGTACGTCCTCCCCTGGACTATGAATTCCTTATGGGCAGAAGTAGTAAAATGATAGGCGTTTCACTGAGATTGAAGGGAATGGCATAAATTTGACTACATCAGAATTTTGTCTGGAATCAACCTTGCCTACCTCCACCTGATTTAGTTAGAATACCGCAGTGTGAGTGGCGGTCTAGACAAATTTGCCTGAGTAAATCCTGAACAGGTAAGTATCCTGAAGTTTTTGGCTTAAACACAAACACAGCTTCTCAGTCTCTCTGGCGGCCCAGGGACAGTGACCTTTCTTAGTGTCTGCAGGAGATACACATGAAGCCAGTGTCACCCTGAGCCAGGGGCCTATTGGCAAGTTCCCAGGTGAAGGTGGGGGGCTAACCCGAAGCACGGCTCCCCCTCGGCACTGCTAGGCTGGATCATTCTCTGTTGCAGGGGCTGCCCTGTGTGTTCTTAGTGGCATCCTTAGCCTCTGCCACTCTGTGCCAGTAGCGCCCAACCCTCCCCAATCCGGTCCAACAAGCACCAATGTCTCTAGCAGCATCAAACATCCCCCTGGCTCTAGGGATCAGATCCCACACTACCGTGCCACGAGAGGGTGTCTAAAACCAAAGGTCTGTGCCCTGCTCATCATTCACACAATCCCCTGGCAAAGCCACTTTGCTTCTGCTGATAGCATTCCCTTACATCTGAAGGGAATTTAGACTTCCTGTAATTCAAGGATCTCTTTTTAAGGAGATTAAGGCCCAGGAGGGACCTCCACATGGGACACGTCATGTCGGAGAGACTCCACATGGATCTGCCCAGTACCTGTGTGTGGGACAGACAGGACCTGGAGATCCAGGGTGGGGATGGTGAAGGGAGAATAGACAGATGGGGGGGTGCATTCATGAAATGGGGTGACATCACAGCAGTTCATAGAGTAAAAACTGTCGAATCTGCCACCTGGCCCTTGCAAGGCTGCTCCCTACCATAAAGCAGGAAGTAGGGTGCCAGCTCCCCTCGCCTCCAGCGGTGCCCAGCAGGCCCCTTGCTGGGGGTGGGCATATCACACTATGGATATTTGTTTTAGAAATAGTTCTTGAGGACCAAAAGGTAAGCTGAAGTCATTTGTTCATCATTCAGGAAACATTTTGATGTGCTTTTGTTGACTACTGAGGACACAAGTCTCTGCCCACAGGTAGATGTATGCAGCAGGCATGAAGAGATCCTCCTAAAACAAGGACACATGTGAGGCAACAGGCATGTTGTGGGGGCTGAGGGTGCAGAGGGGCTGCATCCAACCCAACAGGAAAGACAAGGACCACTTTCAGGGGCTGCGAACCCCCGAGCTAAGTCTAAAAGGATGATTTCAGCAGTTACAGAGTAAGAAAGCGAGGCTGGAGGAGGGCACTGGAGGTGCAAGGGAAATCTCACAAAAGCTTGTGGCCCATCAGGCACAGCAACCTCACGCCTGTAATCCCAGCACTTTGGGAGGCCGAGGCAGGCGGATCACCTGAGGTCAGGAGTTTGAGACCAGCCTGACCAACATGGCAAAACCCCTTCTCTACTAAACGTACAACAATTAGCTGGGCATGGTGATGGGTGCCTGTAATCCCAGCTACTCAGGAGGCTGAGGCAGGGAAATCGCTTGAACTCTGGTGGTTCGAGGTTGCAGTGAGCTGAGATTGTGCCACTGTACTCCAGCCTGGGCAACAGAGCAAGACTGTGTCTGGAAGTGATACAGTGGGCGGGCAGAACCCCAGCACTCCACCTCGGCAGGATGTTAGAGTCAAGTCAGAAGAGAGAAATCAGGGCCGGGCACAGTGGCTCAAGCCTGTAATCCCAGCACTTTGGGAGGCCGAGGCAGGTGGATCACGAGGTCAAGAGATCGAGACCATCCTGGTCAACAGGGTGAAACCCTGTCTCTACCAAAAATACAAAATATTAGCTGGGCATGGTGGCGCATGCCTGTAATCCCAGCTACTCAGGAGGCTGAGGCAGGATAATTGCCTGAACCCAGGAGGCGGAGGTTGCGGTGAGCCAAGATCGCGCCATTGCACTCCAGTCTGGGTAACAAGAGCGAAACTCCATCTCAAAAAAGAAAAAAAAAAAGAAGAAGAGAGAAATCAGACTGAAAGGCTGTGACTGCAGTCTTGAAGAACTTGCATTTCATCTCTAAGGCAATGAGGAGCCACTGAGGGATAGAATCAAGGAGCACAAGGTCAGGCGGGGCAGCAGGTAGGACAATGCTGCAGTGAGGGGAGACAGGGGAGACCCACAGGCAGGGTGGAGGGAGGAGAGTCAGGGATGCCTCTGAGGATGCCTAGAAGAGCTAAGAATGATGCTCAGGGCTGGACGTGGTGGGTCAAGCCTGCAATCCCAACACTTTGGGAAGCCAAGTTGGGAGGATCACTTGAGGCGAAGAGTTCAAGATGTTCAAGATTGAGGTCTCGCTATGTTGACCAGGCTGTCAACATAGCGAGACCTCAATTCTGTTTAAAAACACAAAAGCAGATGCTCAGGTGTCTAGCGGTGACTTAAATGAGGCAGTGCACACAGAAGAAGCAGGCATGCAGCGGGAGCTCTGGACCTCCACGTAGGACGCGTTACGTCTGAGAGACTCCACATGGAGCTGCCCAGTACAGGTGTGTATGGGACAGACGGAACTGGATAGCCAGGGTGGGAATGGTGCAGGGGGAGCAAATGGACAGAAGTGTGTCTATGAAATGGGGTGACATCACGGCAGGGGCTGGGGTGTGGGCACAAGGAATAAACGCAGGGAATAGCAGCAACATCTAAAAGAGGCACCCCCCTCACCAGAAACCAACTTCCTGATCAGCCCAGCCACTCTGTTAGGCAGGATGCTCTTGCAAGACCCGTCCCCTCGCCCCTACCCCTGCACCCACCCCCAACTCCACCCCCCAGGCCAGAGTAGCCATGCTGGTCCTCTCTGAGCCGCAGAGGGAGCTGGAGTCTGAACACAGAGGGGAAGTGCTCAGACTACTCATCAACCTTTGTTTCCCCATTGCCCAGGCAGCTCCAAGACTTTCATTTCCCACCACCACACTCTCCCCAAGGCACCAGAATGTGAGCTGGCACCACGGTGAGGACTCCGGACCTACTAATGGACTGTGAACCTAACATTTGTGGGAAACGTTGCACAACTTCTAAGGTCTGTGGTCAGATGGGTTCACCCACAGCCTAATCGTAAGTGTAGATGCTTAAGAACTAGATTGTAGCTTACAAAAGCTGTTGGCTGTTTATCGCGAAGTGTGCTACCAGAGGGTAGTGCAGTTTTGCTACATATTTGTAGTCCTGTACATTTGAGGGTGGGAATAAGGCTCTCTGAGCAGCCTCTCCGCATGTCATGCCCTCTAATGAATACCCACAGTGTCCCCATTTCTCATGAACCAGGACTTGACGTTTACCCCTGGATATCTCTCATAGACTCACGCTCTCTGTGGGACAGAGACAAGAGCATTTGCTCAAACCCTTCCTGAATTCTTTTCAACCCTTAGCTATTTCAGTCCTTTTCACAGTAGTCACACCTTTCAGCCACTGAGTTATTCAACCTGAGACTCAGAGGCCTGTCCTGGGAGGAAAATGATGGTTTAAATGAGGAGCATTTCCTAAAGCATTTTGCATTTTATTTCTTACTCCAACTTTGCAAGTACTTCTGTGTATAGAAATTTTTACTCTTTCCCTAAAGCTTTGTAGTCTCTCCTTTCTACTGAAGAGAAATTAAAGTGCAGCATTGGGGTCAGGGTCCAGAGCGTAGAACGTGCCTTCAGGTGGGTCCAGGCAAGGGTGTGGCCCCAGGTCATGGCCCCTGGCCCTGGCCCTCCTCAGGTACTACTGCCTGGAGGAGGATTTAGTGTTAGCTGGAGTACTTTGGTATTTTACCTGTTTAAGAATGAAATGCAGTTAGGCATGGTGGCTCACAATTGTAATCCCAGCATTTTGGGAGGCTGAGGTGGGTGGGTCAACTGAGGTCAGGAGTTCGAGACCAGCCTGGCCAACATGGTGAAACCCCATCTCTATTAAAAATACAAAAATTAGGCTGGGCATGGTGGCTCATGCCTGTAATCCCAGAACTTTGGGAGGCAGAAGCAAGTGGGTCACAAGGTCAGGAAATCAAGACCATCCTGGCCAACACGGTGAAACCCTGTCTCTACTAAAAATACAAAAAAAAAAACAAAACCATGTGTGGTGGCGGGCGCCTGTAGTCCCAGCTACTCAGGAGGCTGAGGCAGGAGAATCACTTGAACCTGGGAGGTGGAGGTTGCTGAGATCGCACTACTACACTGCAGCCTGGGCGACAGAGCCTGCATCACTGCACTACAGAGCGAGATTCTGTCTCAAAAAAAAAAAAGAACAAAGTGCTTCCTGGCAGAGTGAAGTCTCTCCTCCTTCCACAGTGGACTCTCTTTATTATGACTGTGATGTGATTGGGGTACACAAGCTGGTGTCTTCTCCAAAGGTCAGCTGAGGAGCTCTCTGGAAACACAAGTCCATTGTGAAATCCTCAGCAATTCCTCACAGCAGAATATCACCCTGTGAGAAACGTAGGAATCTAAACCCTGCAATTCACAGCCAGTCTGGTGAAGCATCCGGACAAGGAGACTAAGATTTAATCTTGATTCTCCACTAATTGGCACTGTAGTGTTCCCAGAAGTCATTTCTGCTCACTGGGTCTCAATTTTCTAATCTATAAAATGAAGGGTTGGAGTAGATCACTGTTTCTCACGCTGCGGGGTATAGACATATTCTTGGGAGCTGTGAGCTCTCTATTAGAATTTTTTTTCCTAAAAAAAACTTTTTTTTTGAGACGGAGTATTGCTCTGTCACCCAGGCTGTAGTGCAGCTTACTGCAACCTCCATCTTCCACATTCAAGAGATTCTCCTGCCTTAGCCTTCCGAGTAGCTGGGATTACAGGCACACACCATCACATCTGGCTAATTTTTGTATTTTTAGTAGAGATGGGGTTTTGCCATATTGGCCAGGCTGGTCTTGAACTCCTGACCTCAGGTGATCTACCTGCCTTGGTCTCTCTAAGTGCTGGGATTATAGGTGTGAGCCACTGTGCTCAACCTTTTTTTTTTCTAAATGTTTGATTTTATTTATTTATTATTTCCTTTAAACTGTCTCCCCCAGGAAGGATTATTTATTTTTGATGTCTTGCTCTGACATCAAGGCTGGGTCATATGATCTTGTGGCGGCATGATCATAGCTCACAGCAGCCTTGAATTCTGGGGCTCAAGCAATCCTCTTGCCTCAGCCTCTCGAGTAGATGAGACTACAGGCATGTGCTACCACACTGAGCTAATTTTTTATTTTAATTTTTTTTAGATATAGGATCTCCCTATGTTGCCAAGGGTGGTCCCAAACTCCTGGCCTCCAGTGATCCTCCTGCCTCAGCCTCTCAAAGTGTTCAGAATTACAGGTGTGAGCCACTGCACCTGGCCAACCCAACTTTTTAATTCAAAACAGTTCAGACTTACAGAATAATTGCAAAAATAAAATAAGAACATTCACACACCCTTCACATGGATTCACTAATTAATAGCATTTTGCTACGAAAGTCTATTCCCTTCTATGGGTGTTTTCATGTTGATAAAAATGGGCTGGGCATGGTGACTCAGGCCTATAATCCCACCACTTTGGGAGGCCAAGGCAGGCAGATCATCTGAGGTCAGGAATTCGAGACCAGCCTGGTCAACATGGTGAAACCCCATCTCTACTAAAAATACAAAAGTTAGCCTTGCGTAGTGGTGCACACCGTAATCCCAGCTACTCAAGAGACTGAAGAAGGAGAATTGCTTGAATCCGGGAGGCAGAGGTTGCAGTGGGCAGAGATCACATCACCGCACTCCAGCCTGGGCATCAGAGCAAGACTCTGTCTCTAAATAAATAAATAATAAATTCATGTAAGCTTCTATCTGAATTATAACGGGGGCTACTGCCTGCACCAGGGCTTGGGGGTCTGCTTGTGTCTACCTTCCCTTTGGCATCAGATGAAGAGGTCTCCACAATATCCACACCAAATGATATCATGAGGTCCCACATAAATGAAGGTTGTTCAGTAATTTTAAAGGGAAAAGCGTGTGGGAAATTTGAGTTCTTTCTCATTTCATACATTTGCAGTATAGTAAAGGCATGTCAAACACACACACAGACTTCTCCAGAAGTCCTTTCCATATTGATGTTACCAGTAGCAATTTAGTTTGAGCAAAACATCATTTGACAAATTAAATTAGTTACTAAATTAAATTTTTGTGATTTGAAAGGAATTTTTTTACTGACTTTGTAAATTTGTCTTATTATAATTGGTCAAGAGTTATGAACATAAGGGCTTTATTTATTTTTAAGATGGAGTCTCACTCTATTGCTAGGCTGGCGTGTGTGGGGTGATCTCGGCTCACTGCAACCTCTGCCTCCCAGGTTTAAGCGATTCTCCTGCCTCTCCCTCCTAAGTAGCTGGGGCTACAGGCACACGCCACCATGCCCAGATAATTTTCGTATTTTTAGTAGAAATGGGGTTTCACCATGTTGGCCAAGATGGTCTAGATCTTTTGACCTTGTGATCCGCCTGCCTTGGCCTCCCAAAGTGCTGGGATTAGGGGCATGAGCCACTGCACCCCACTGAGCATAAGGAATTTATAATGTTGGCGTAGACCTGAGCAGCACTATAAAAAAAGTAAAACTGAGGTCATGCTAGAGTGTCACTGGGGAGACTTGCATTCATCTTGTTTATAAACAATGGACCAGAACAAGTTCAGATGTGCCTCAAGAGGATCAGGCAGTTAAGTAAGTATACCCATTTTGTTATATTGAGATTCAGTACAAGATTTTGTTTGGAAAAAGTTTGAATATCACCTATCTAGAATAATTTGATGAATCCGTTCATCTTTAGCAACTAAACCCATTTATTTTCACTTCGAAAGTACTGTTAGCTGCGGACCATCTTTCATCCCCATGCCTTTTGACATTTCACTTTCTCTTTTCTTCTTTATTGTTATTATTATTTTAGATAGGTTCTCGGTCTGTTGCCCAGGCTGGAATACAATGGTGCGATCATAGCTCACTGCAGCCTTGACCTCCTGGGCTCAAGCAATCCTCCCACCTCAACCACCCAAGTAGCTTACTACAGGTACCTGCCACCACACCTGGCTAATTTTTTAAACAATTTTTTTCATAGAGATAGGGTCTTGCTATGTTGCCCAGGCTGGTCTTGAACCCCTGGCATCAACTGATCCTCCCACCTTGGCCTCTCAAAGTGCTGGGATTACAAGTATAAACCACCACACCTGGCCTCTCTTTCTTTATTGTGTATTACTTGGGAGGCTGAGGCAGGAGAATCTCTTGAACCTGGGAGGCAGAGGTTGCAATGAGCAGAGATCATGCCACTGCACTCCAGCCTGGGCCACAGAGCGAGACTCTGTCAAACAAAAAAAAGAGAATTTAGTCACATGAGAAATACATAAAGGTATAAGTGTTCTCACCAAAAAATAAAGGTGACCATGTGAGGTGACGGATGTGTTAATCAACCTCCCAAGCAGCTGGGACCACAGGCATGTACCACCACTCTTAGCTAAATTTTCAAATTTTTCTAGAGACAGAGTTTCACTATGTTGCCTAGGCTGGCAGAACTTTAATTTTCTAAAAGCAATAGAATATTGCAAATAAAGTTGAAGCCACTTTTTTCCTTCCAACTTTCAGCCCTATTCTCTCTCCTCCCTAGGAGAGAGAATACTACTGGGGATGTGGGGGAAAGGTAGCATGAGGCAGGAAGGAGAAAGGTGAGCCCAGGGTCCTCTCTACACAGATGCACCCAACAAGGAAGCCAAGGTGGCTGCCCCATCACACCCCTCAGCCAAGGCCGCTCCCAGAGGCGAGCAAGTGGAAGTGAGTGAGGCTTAGGCACCAGTGCTAAAGGTCAGGCTTTGAGTCAAAGCTCAGGGTCTGCAGACCTCGTGACACAATTCTCATTTAGCTTCGATTACATTATTTTCCCAGAGCTTAGGATAAAAGCCATTTAAGAAACAAAAGGGAAATCTGGGTTGGGACCAGGACCACCAGGGAGCTCCTGAGCTGGCTTGGTGGCATCCCAGGCCCGTGCCAGGACCTGGCAGGGCTGGTTTCCATGGGCATGAATAGGCCCACATCAGAATTCCAGGGCACGGGCAAGGATTACAAACAGAAAATGACCTCCTGAACAGAGGGCAAGGCTTTGAGTGTTCACATTTCTTCTCCGTGCCCACACTCAGAAGCACCTCTTAACCCTTTAATCACCTGCAAGCTTGCTCACTCGCATGAGGCGGGGGGTCACACCTCTGCAGCCTGGTTTGCCTCCCATGTAACATCAAAAGGGGAGGGGCGATTCTCCTGGAAACCTCAGCACCCTGTCCTGAGAGGAAATGGAGTGCATGGTAACATGCAGCCACCACTGTGCTTCTCTGAGCCATCTTGTCTAGTTCTGATGTGTCACATGAAATGAGACAAAGGGTGCCAGCAGTGCCTCAGCCCTTGGCCAACCCTGAGCATGGTGGTGAGTGCCTCAGGCACCGGACTTGCCCAATTCTTGGGATTTGAAAAAATGAAGTTGGATTCAGCCAGCCGCTGAGGTTATAATTCCATAAGGAGGGAGTCAACAGCACATTTCTTATTACATAATTATTCTCTAATTTAATTTTTTTGTTTGTTTGTTTGTTTTCTGTAGAGAACAGGGTTTTGCTGTTGCCCAGGTTGGTCTTGAACTCCTGACCTCAAGCAATTCTCTGGCCTCCCCCGGTGCTGGGATTATAGACATGAGCCACTGTGCCTGGCCCTCTAATTTAAATGGAAAGCAATTAGGTGAAAAAGACACCTAAGTTATCAGACGCTCCAAAGCTTCAGAAAACCTTTTATTCCAGTCTATGGGTTCCAACCCAGATCACAAGACATATAAAATTCACAATGTCTACGGGGCTGCCCATTAATTCCTTTAGGTTTTGGTCTTTTCAAGAGAAAAGGTGAAATGTGACCGGGCAGGGTGGCTCACATCTGTAATCCCAGCACTTAGAGAGGCCAAGGCAGGTGGATCACCTGAGGTCAGGAGTTCGAGACCAGCCTGGCCAACATGTCGAAACCCTGTCTTTACTAAAAATACAAAAATTAGCGGGTGTGGTAGCACACACCTGTAATCCCAGCTACTGAGGAGGCTGAGGCAGGAGAATTGCTTGAACCTGGGAGGCAGAGGTTGCCGTGAGCAGAGATCATGCCCTGCACTCCAACCTGGGCAACAGAGCAAGACTGTGTCAAAAAGAAAAAAAAGAAAAGAAAAGGCGAAATGCCAAAGGTATTAGTATTGAATGTACCATTTTCATGGGTGAGGCACTAAAGGCTGCTTATATGACAAGCAACAATTTCTGAATAATATTTGGACAGTACTCTACTATTTTCAAATCATATACACACAGCCTCATTTGCTTGTTTTGATTTGCAGTGCTTGCTGCCTGCTGGTGAGTTTCTCTCCGTAGACCGGGACTCCTGGGCAGCTTCCCTGTTTCATCTCAGGTTACTACATGCTGTGCAGAACGGTCTTACTTCTGGCATTTCACAGCTGTGAAGTATAACCTCCAGAAGAAATAGATTGAAACACATGAAATCGCCATTTTTTTTTTTAAGTAAAAAAAAGGTTTGGTTAATGGTAACTCCATATGATCCAACCTAATATTTTGGTCTAAACAAAGTTTGTGACCAAAGATGCCATTCCATGAATGTTCGCTTTGTCTGAATCCTGTTTTTATGGATTCAGGGAACTAGCTCTAAATGCTTTAAATGGGCCGGGTGCAGTGGCTCGCTCCTGTAATCCCAGCACTAAGGCTGAGGTGGGAGGATCACCTGAGGCCGGGAGTTCAAGACCAACCTGGCCAAAATGGTGAAACTTTGTCTCTACTAAAAATACAAAATTAGCCAGACATGGTGGTGAGCTCCTGTAATCCTAGCTACTTGGGAGGCTGAGGCAGGAGAATCACTTGAACCCGGGAGGTGGAGGTTGCACTGAGCTGAGATCATGCCACAGCACTCTAGCCTGGGCAACAGAGCGAGACTCTGTCTCAAAAATAAAAAAATTAAAAAAGCTTTAAGTATATTAGCTCCATTCGTCTGTACTGTCACCCTATGAAACAATCCTCCTGTTAGCCACCGTTCACAAGTGAGGAAACCAAGACACAAAGAAGTTCAATAACTTAGCCCTTGCCCAATCTCACCAGAGAGGATGCTGCTCAGCTCAGCCTTGGACCCATGCAGTCTGGATCTGAAGCCTGTCTTCTTCATTCTGGCTTCCTACCCAAGGAAACCAGACAATGGCAAGCCAGACGGGAGTGGGAGGAGACAAAGAAACTGATTTGTATTAATGTCCAGTGGGATTTTCATCTAAACATAAATGCAGACCCTCACTAAAATAGCTTAAGCTATAGGAAATGCATTAGTTACCTAATAATAAATATAGGCCAGGCACGGTGGCTCATGCCTATAATCCCAGCACTTTTGGGGGCCAAGGCAGGAGGATCACCTGAGGTCATGAGTTTGAGAACAGCCTGGACAACATGGCAAACCCTGTCTCTATTAAAAATACAAAAACTAGCTGGGTGTAGTGGCAGGCACCTGTAATCCCAGCTACTCAGGAGGCTGAAGCAGGATAATCACTTGAACCCGGTAGATGGAGGTTGCAGTGAGCTGAGATCGTGCCACTGCACTCCAGCCTAGGAGACAAGAGCTCCATCTCAAAAAAAAAAAAAAAGAAGAAAGAAGGAAGGGAAGAAGGGAAGGGAAGGGAAGGGGAGGGGAGGGGAGGGGAGGGGAGGGGAGGGAGGGAAGGGAAGGGAAGGGAAGGGAAGGGAAGGGAAGGGAAGGGAAGGGAAGGGAAGGGAAGGGAAGGGAAGGGACGGGAAGGGAAGGGAAGGGACGGGAGTGGACGGGAGGGGACGGGAAGGGAAGGGAGGGGAGGGGAGGGGAGGGGGGGGGAGGGGGGGGGAGGGGAGGGGAGGGGAGGGGAGGGGAGGGGAGGGGAGGGGAAGGGAAGGGAAGGGAGGGGAAGGGAGGGGAGGGGAGGGGAGGGGAGGGGAGGGAAGCAGAGAGGAAAGAAGGAGGGAAGAAGGGATGGAAGAAGGAAGGAAGGAAGAAGGAAGGAAGGAAGGAAGGAAGGAAGGAAGGAAGGAAGGAAGGAAGGAAGGAAGGAAGGAAGGAAGGAAGGAAGGAAAGAAGGATTAGTCGGGTATGGTGGCAGGTGCTCGTAGTTCCAGCTACTCAGGAAGCTGGGATGGGAGGATTGCTTTCCCTCTGGGAGGTTTTTTTTGAGAAAGAACCCTGTCTCAAAAAAAGAAAAGAACTCCAGAGCCTGGGCAGTGGCAAGACTCATTAATTTCATAGAACAATTGATGTCATCAAGGGACAGTTGCCTCTGTCTTTGTGCTCTGCATCCTCCAGGCTGTTTCTCTCATGGGCCCCAAATAACTGCTGCAGTCCAGCCTTCATGTGCCAATAACAATAGCCAGGCAGAAGGAGTGGATCAGCCTTATTTTATGTCCCATTTTAAGACTGAAGAAAATCAGGACCGGGCACAGAGGCTCATGCCTGTAATCCCAACACTCTGGGAGGCCGAGGTGGGTGGATCATGTGAGGTCAGGAGTTTGAGACCAACCTGGCCAACATGGTCAAACCCCGTCTCCACTAAAAATACAAAAATATTTTCCAGGCATGGTGTTGAGTGCCTGTAGTCCCAGCTACTTGGGAGGCTGAGACAGGAAAATCTCTTGAACCCAGGAGGTAGAGGTTGCAGTGAGCCAAGATTGCACCACTGCACTCTAGCCTGGGTGACAGAGTGAGACAGTCTCAAAATACAATAAAATAAGAAATAACAGTAATAGACCCATTGCACAATAACACAGATGGCATTCCTTAAATTATATACACATTTATTTATTTATTTATTTTTTTTTTTCCTTTTTTTTTTTTGAGACAGAGTTTCGCTCTTGTTACCCAGGCTGAAGTGCAATGGCGTGATCTCGGCTCACCGCAATGTCTGCCTCCTGGGTTCAAGCAATTCTCCTGCCTTAGCTTCCCAAGTAGCTGGGACTAAAGGCATGCGCCACCATGCCCAGCTAATTTTTGTATTTTTAGTAGAGATGAGGTTTCACCCTGTTGACCAGGATGGTCTCGATCTCTTGACCTAGTGATCCACCCGCCTCGGCCTCCCAAAGTGCTGGGATTATAGGTGTGAGCCACCGTGCCCGGCCTACATATACATTTTTTTAAAATGTTACTTTAATTCTGGGGCTATTTTTCTAAAATAAAAGAAAATTTAGTAGAATAGTAACTTTGTTTGCTATTTTTACAAATCTGTAATGTCTGAGCTAAAAAAAGATACCCCTCACATCCGCTTCTGCATTTAGTCTGTGGTGATGTGTTATTTTGGTTGAAGAACATGAAGAAAATTCAGTGTCACACAGATAAATAGCTGGGAAAGGGAGGATCATTTAAATAGCGTTTCAAGATAATCGTGGATATTTTTCTTTGATGCTGCACTAACCATCAGCAAGTGGTGCAGGTTGAGTACCCCTTATTTGAAATGCCTGGAACCAGAAGCATTCAGATTTCGGACAGTTTTCATTTTGGAATATTTGCATATGCCTAATGAGATACCTTGAGGATGAGATCCGAGTCTGAACACAAAATTTATTCGTTTCATATACAGCTTACTCATATAGTCTGAAAGTCATTTTTATATAATTTAGATAATTTTGTATACAAAACAATTTTCACTGCATTGACTATGACCTGTCACATGAGGTCACACGAGGAATTTTTCCATGTGTGGCATCATGTTGGTTCTCAAAAAATTTTAGATCTTGGAGCATTCTGGATTTTGGATTTTTAGATTAGGGAAGTTCAACCTGTAGCATTTAATGGTTAGTTGCAATGTGGAATCAGAAACCATAATAATTAACTTTTCATACTATAATATTAAAATCCATTCATCAGTCAGGCGCAGTGGCTCACACCTGTAATCCCAGCACTTTGGGGGGCTGAAGCAGATGGATCATCCGAGGTCAGGAGCTCAAGACCAGCCTGGCCAACATGGTGAAACCCTGTCTCTACTAAAATGCAAAAATTAGCTGGGCATGATGGTGTGTGCCTGTAATCTCAGCTACTCATGAGGCTGAGGCAGGAGAATCATTTGAATCCAGGATGCAGAGGTAGCAGTGAGCTGAGATCACACTGCTGTGCTCTAGCCTGGATGACAGAGTGAGACTCTGTCTCAAAAAAAAAAAAAGAAATGCATTCATCTATTTGACATTTTGAATGGATATTTTATTTATGAATGTTTCTATAGCATCACACATTTTTCACTTAGAAAATATTGACTTGGGCTGGGCGGGTGGCTCACGCCTGTAATCCAAGCACTTTGGAGGCCAAGGCAGGTGGATCACCTGAGGTCAGGAGTTCAAGACCAGTCTGCGCAACATGGTGAAACCCCGTCTTTTAAATTAAAAAAATATACATATGTATATATTGGCTTACTGAGTTATGCAGATCTTCCAAATATTGATATATTTCACAATACCAAAAAGTTCATTCATGGCACTACCTATCTTTATAAGGAAAGTATTAAGAAGCCATCAGACTTACAGTGGTGGATACAATTTTTACAGTATTCCAATTTTTCACGAAATGTTTAAATTTTATCATTGGCGAGGAAAAAATATCCATTGTTTTCACTTAAATAAAATGTCCACTTTGTTCATTTTTAACAAAACACCTCCCAAATACCCAAGTCTAAATAATCATAATTTGTCCACCTGCTGCTCTTTCAAGTAAAATGGTGCTCCATGATCCAAGTAGCTTGTTTAGCTTATAAGTCAAGCGGTTGCTGATATGGTTGGGCTGTGTTTCCACCCTCTCTTAATTCCCATGTGTTGTGGGAGGGGCCTGGTGGGAGATGACAAATCATGGAAGCAGGTCTTTCCTGTGCTGTTCTTGTGATAGTAAATGGGTCTCATGAGATCTGGTGGTTTTAAAATGGGAGTTTCCCTGCATAAGCTCTCACTTTGCCTGCTGCCATCCACGAAAGATGTGACCTGCTCTTCCTTGCCTTCTGCTGTGGGAAGAAAGTTGCCCAGGTGCCATGGCAAGAGACTGAAGGCACAATCTGTCCCAGCATAATAAATAACTGATTACTTAGATATAGCAATGACACCAAATATATTTACTGATTACATAGTGATAGCATAATAAATAATTGATTACTTAGATATAGCAATGACACCAATTAGACTTAGATACAACCACATAATCAATTACATGCTCAATCTTACTACATTATTCTTCTCAATTATTAACCTTTGCTTTAGTATGACAGTGTAGGAACATTTTTGGCCTTATAGTGTAGAAATAATCTGGTGAAATATAATTTGGAACTGAAGGGACATTGTGAGAAGTGATCAGGAGGCGAGAGTAAATGCCTTAAGGTAGCACCAATGCCTGGGAAAGACTAACAGGCAGGTCTTGTGGGTGACGCCAGCGCCTGGGGAGGCGCCAGCCTGTTGCTTAGCAGGCTGTGAGGGGGAATTTCCCTTTCACTGGGGAGTTCAGAAAACACTTTGCTTCTTCCATCTCTTGAGGAGGTCTGACACTAGCCAGGGGCCTAAACACCTCTCCGTGGTGCTGTGCTCCGATGGTCACCATCCTTGTCCACTTTTATATTCCACTTTCCCACCCAGTGCTCCCTTGTAAATTCTTAGAAGAATAGAGGAATCCTAAAAGCCTTTGATCTCTCTGATAAGTGCATAGAAAGATACTGATGTATGTACCTCCCCTCCTTGCAGCGGCTACCTGAGAGGGAGGGGCCCTCTGTACTGTTCCCATGTGGCCCCCCATATTGTAAGAATGTGATTTGCTTGACCCCTATCAATCATGTTAGATGAGTCACTCTCCTGACCCTGCCCACCCTGCCTTGTATACAATAAATATCAGCATGTCCAGGCATTCGGGGCCACTACTAGACTCTGTGCCTTGGTAGTAGTGGTCCCCCGGGCCCCACTGAATTCTTCTGTTACTCTGTGTTCTTGTGTCTTTCTTTCCTGCGATCTGTCGTCTCCACACACAAAAGAACACCCACTAGATCATGCAGGGCTGGACCCTGCATTCTGCCATGATTGTGAGGCCTCCCAGCCATGTGGAGCTGTAAGTCCCATAAACCTTTTGTAATTGCCCAGTCTGGGTATGTCTTTATCAGCAGCATGAAAATGGGCTAATACAGTTGCACAGGTGCTTTTCCTGAGACAACCTTCATACTTCAGTATGTAGCAAAAGTGCTTCATGTGCACTTCGCATCTGGTCTAATTAAAAGGTATGTGTTCAAGATGTTAAGATTTGGCCAGGTAAAGGTAGTTCACACCTGTAATTCCAGCACTTTGGGAGGCCGAGGCGGGTGGATCACCTGAGGTCAGTAGTTCCAGATCAGCCTGGCCAACATGGTGAAACCCTGTCTCTACTAAAAATACAAAAAATTAGCCAGGCATGGTGGGGGCACTTGTAGTCCCAGCTACTTGTGAGGCTAAGTGAGTAGAGATTGTTCTACCGCACTCCAGCTTGGGCAACAAGAGTGAAACTCCATTTCAAAAAAAACAAAAGAAAATGAAGTTAAGATTTAACAGAATTATCTACTTTTACAGCTTCATCAAGGACATTCTGAAGTGAAACTGTCTTGTCCTTTATTAACTGCACGTATGGGCTGGTGGAGAACATATGGTCCCTCTGTTACGGATTCAGCTGGATTCATGTTGAGGAGCCAGCAGTTGTACTCACCTCAGCTTTTGTATCATGCGTGCTAATGTCAATAGACTTGTTCCGGGATACAATGTGAGATTCATAAGAGGCTTTTCAAAGCTTTGTATTTCTTACTAAGCAGCAAATTCGTTGTCAAAGGAGTTCTTCCACGACTTGCATTTGTTGCCAAGTAATTCCCATGAAGGATCTTTGGTGATTATTAGTTGGGGCTGATACTGGATGAATACATACAGAAGAGCAAGCCCAGTCAAATTTCTAGATTTGTCCCAGTGGTAAGCAGAAGTACAATTCTGCAGAAGAGGTATTAATTCGCTTATTACTTTTATAGCCAAATCTTTAATGCAACAAGTTACTGGGTCGTTGGAAAGTGGCATTACCGTAATTCCCTTTACTGACTTTTCGTCTGGCAGGCATCCAGCAATGTCATCTATAAAAGGCTTTGTAAGGCTTTCAACTTCCATGTGCCCTTCTGCAGCCTATGTAATAAAATAGCTTAACTCTTCAAGGTGCTTTGGGCATTATCTCATTTCTAATAGGAAAAGCCGTGACAGACAACATTTAGCTTTTAAACAACTATCATGTCTATATTTAATATATTTAATCCACAGGGTAAGGGGGAGGTGGGGATGGTTAATGGGTGCTAAAAAAAATAGAAAAAATGAGTAAGACCTACTATTTAATAGCACAACCGGGTGACTATAGTCAATAATCATTGTACATTTTAAAACAATGAATTGGATTGTTTGTAACACAAACGATAAATGCTTGAGGGGATAGATACCCCCTTCTCCATGATGTGATTATTAATATCTAGTATTTGAGTACAATAGGTTGACTAGAGTAAAAATATTTTAATTGTATATTTAAAAGTAAAACAGGCCGGGCGCAGTGGCTCATGCCTGTAATCCCAGCACTTTGGGAGGCTGAGGTGGGTGGATCACAAGGTCAAGAGATCAAGACCATCCTGGCCAACATGATGAAAACCTGTCTCTACTAAAAACACAAAAAAATTAGCTAGGCATGGTGACAAGCACCTGTAGTCCCAGCCACTCAGGAGGCTGAGGCAGGAGAATCACTTGAACCCAGGATATGGAGATCGCAGTGAGCTGAGATTGCGCCACTGCAGTCTAGCCTGGTTAAAGAGTGAGACTCTGTCTCAAAAATAAATAAATAAATAAAAATAGTATAATTGGATTGTTTGTAAAACAAATGAGAAATGCTTGAGAGGATGGCTACTTCATTCTCCATGATGTGATTATTTCATATTTCATGCCTGTATCAAAATATCTCATGTACCCCATGAACTATGCACCTATGGCCAAGCATGGTGGCTCACGCCTATAATCCCAGCACTTTGGGAGGCCAAGGCAGGTGGATCACTTAAGGTTGGAAGTTCAAGACCAGTCTGACCAACATGGAGAAACCCTCTCTCTACTAAAAATACAAAATTAGCCAGGCATGGTGGTGCATGCCTGTAATCCCAGCTACAGGAGGCTTGAGAATTGCTTGAACCTGGGAAGCAGAGGTTGCACTGAGCCAAGACCGCACCATTGCACTCCAGCCTGGGTAGCAAGAGTGAAACTCCCTCGCAAAAAGAAACAAAAAACTATGTACCTACTATGTACCCACAAAAGTTAAAAATTAAAAACTTTTTAAAGAAAAAGAAAATAAAAGGAAAAAAAAATAAATAAAATATTTAATTTATTTTTCTTTAAATTCCGAGTGAGTGGTCTTCAAGCGATGCCACAACTTAATTGGTACCATGATACTTTCTCTTGTTTTATTAATAAGCTTTATTTGTTAGAGAAGTTTTAGGTTCACAGCAGTACTGGGAAAAAAGTACTGAGAATCCCCACATACACACTGTCCCCTGACTCACACAACCTTCTCCATTGTCAACATCCCACACCACAGTGGTACATTTGTTACAGTCAATGAACCTACCCGTGACACATCAGTATCACCCAAAGTCTGTAGTTTCCATGAGGGTTCCCTCCGAGTGTTGCACATTGTGTGGGTTTGACAAGTGTATAATGACATGCATCTACAATTGTAGTATCATACGCAGTAGTTTTACTGCCCTAACAATTCTCTGTGCTCTGTGTATTCATCCTTCCCCTCTCCCTAATCCCTGGCAACCACTGATCTTTTTCCCATCCCCCTAGTTTTCCCTTTTCCAGAATGTCATATGTTGGAATCATACAGTATGGAGCCTTTTCAGATTGGCTTCGTTCCGTTAGTAATACGCATTTAAAGGGGGATGGGTGGGGAGCAAAAAAAAGCAATATGCATTTATGTTTCCTCCATGTCATTTCATGGCTTGAAAGCTCATTTCTTTTTACCACTGAACAATATTCCATTGTCTGGATGTATAAAAGTTTATTTTTTCACTCCCCTACTAAAGGGCATCTTGACTGCTTCCAGGTTTTGTAAATTATGAATAAAGCTGCTGTCAACCTCCATGTATGGGTTTTTGTGAAGTTTTCAACTCCTTTGGGTAAATACCCATGAGTGCCATAATTGGATTATATGGTAAAAGTAGCTTTTCTTTTGTAAGCAACTGCCAAATGGTCTTCCAAAGTGGCTGTGTCATTTTGCATTGCCACTAGCAATGAATGAGAGTTCCTGTTGCTTCACATCCTTCCTGGCATTTGGTGGTGTCCCTGTTTGGGATTTTGGCTATTCTAATACACATGTAGTGGAATTTCATTTTAATTTGCAATTGTTTGGGATTTTGGCTATTCTAATACACATGTAGTGGAATTTCATTTTAATTTGCAATTCCCTAATGATATGTGATATTGAATATCTTTTCAAGTGTTTACTTGACATTTATATATTTTCCTTAAGGAAGTATCTGTTCAGGTTTTTGGCCCATTTTTTCATAAGTTGTTCATTTTCTTACTGTTGAGTTTAAGAGTTCTTAGATTTTTGGGCAACAGTTTTTTATCAGTTGTCTATTTGGCAGAATTTGTGTGGCTTGTCTTTTCATTCTCTTGATATTTTTTGCAGAGCATTAGTTTGTAACTTTAATGAGGTCCAGCTCATCAGTTATTTATTTCATGGGTTGTATTCTTGGTATTGTGTCTAAAAAGTCATTACCATATCCACAGTCATCTAGCTTTTCTCCTGTGTTATCTTCCAATAATTTTATGGTTTTGCATTTCACATTTAGGTCTAAGATTCATTTTGGGTTATTTTTGTGAATTTTCTTCTTTAAACTGTTGAATGTGGTAGATGATATTAATTGATTTTCAAATGTTGTACCTTGCATACCTGAAATAAATTCCACTAGGTTGTGGTATACAATTTGTTCTACACATTGTTGGTACACATTGTTGGATTCAATTTGCTGACATTTTATGGGGGATTTTACCAATCTATGTTCATCATAGATATTGGTCTTATAATTTTGTTGTAATGTCTGTCTGTCTTTCGTATGTCTATGCTGCACTCATAGAATGAGTTAGGAGATATTCCCTCTGCTTCTGTCTTCTGGAGGAGATTTTAGAGAAATAATTTCTTCCCTTAATGTTTGGTAGAATTCACCAAACAAGGTTCCCAGCATGGTCTTGAATTCCTGACCTCAAGTGGTCCACCTGCCTCAGCCTCCCAAAGTGATATGATTACAGGCATGAGCCACCATGCTCAGACATCTTTTTTCTTTTTTTAAGATGTAGTCTCTATCACTCAGGCTGGAGGGAAGTAACATGATCTTGGCTCACTGCAACCTGTCTCCTGGGTTTAAGTGATTCTCATGCCTCAGCCTCCCAAGTAGCTGGGAATACAGGTGCTCACCACTACACCTGGCTAATTGTTGTTTTGTATTTTTAGTAGAGACGGGGTTTCACAATGTTGGTCAGGCTGATGTCAAACCCCTGACCTCAGGTGATCCACCTGCCTCGGCCTCCCAAAGTGCTGGGATTACAAGGACAAGCTACTGCACCTGATCCATTTATTACTTTCTCTTGAGATTTCCCTTTGAACCATGTGTTGTGTTACACAGAAGTGTGTTATTTAATCTCCATGTATTTTGGAATTTTCGAGTTTTCTTTCTGCTATTGATTTCTACTTTAATTCCACTGGGATATTACAGCAGATATTGCATGATTTCCATTATTAAACTTATTAAGACACATTTTATGGTCCAGAATGTGGTTCTAGCTTGATGAATGCTCCAGGTGAGCTTGAGAAGTGTAATCTGCTGTTATTAGATAAAGTAATCTATACATGTGACTATATCCAGTTGATTTAGGATGCTATTTATTTCAAGAATGCTCTTACTGATATTCTGCCTGCTGGATCTGTTCATTTCTGATGGAGGAGCACTAAAGTCTCTAAGTATACTGGTCATCTATTTCTCCTTGTAGTTCTATCAGTTTGTGCATCACATATTTTGATGCTCTGTTGTTAGATGCATACACATGAAGGATTATTATGTCTTCTTGGAGAATTAATCCCTTGGTCATTATGTACTCCACCTTTTTATTCCTGTTAACTTTCCTTGCTCTGAAGTCTGTTACAGCTTTCTTTTGATTAGTGTTAGCATGGTATATCTTTCCCCTCTTTACTTTCCATCTCTATGTGTCTTAATATTTAATGTGAGTTTCTTGTAGACAACACATAGTTGAATCTTATAATTGACCCACTCTGACAATCTCTGTCTTTCAGTTGGTGTTTTTGGATCATTTGTCATTTAAAGTGATTCCTGATGTGGTAGATACTGTATTTGTTAATGTTTTCTATTTGTTGCCCTTGCCTTTTGTTCCTATTTTTGTCCACCACTCTTTTTCCTGACTTTTGAGGTTTCATTTGTTTGTTTAGACACAGAGTCTCACTCTGTTGCCCAATCTGGAATTCAGTGGAGCAATCGTAGCTCAGGGCAGCCTTGACCTTCTGGGTTCAAGTAATCCTCCCAAGTTAGCTAGGACTACAGGTGTGAGCCATCATGCCTGGCTTATTTTTTTTTTTTTTTAAAGTAGAGGCAAGGTCTCTCACTCTGTTGTCCTGCTTGGTCTTCAACTCCTTGGCTCAAGCAATCTTCCTGCCTACACCTCCCAAAGTGCTGGGATTACAGGTGTGAGCCACTGAGCCCAGCTGCCTTTTGAAGTTTTAAGTGAGCACTTTATACAATTCCATTATCTCTACTTTTTGAACATTATCAATAATGCTTCTTAAAAAAATTTTTTTTAGTTGCTGTCCTGATATTTGCAATTCTACTTTGAAATAAAACTATACCACTTCACAAGGATTGCAAGTTACCTTTGTAGTAACAAAATATTCCTAACTCCTCCCTCCCATCTTATGTCATTGCTGTCATTTCATTTCACTTACATGTAAGCATACATAAGCATTTATATTTTAATACATTATTGCTATTATGTGAACTGTCATCTGTTAGACTAATTAGGAATAAGAAAAATAAAAGTGTTATTTTACCTTAATTTCTTCCTTCTTCAAAACTCTTCCTTTATGTCAATCCAAATTTATGACCCATATTATTTTCCTTCTACTAAAGAATTTTTTTAACATTTTATTGCAGGGCAGATCTACTAGCTACAAATTGCCTTTTTGTTTGGCTGGAATGTTTTTATTTCTCCCTCAATTTTTTTTTTTTTTTTTTTGAGATGGAGTTTCATTCTGTCACCCAGGCTGGACTGCAGTAGCATGATCTTGACTCACTGCAACCTCTGCCTTCTGGATTAAAGCAATTCTCCTGCCTCAGCCTTCTAAGTAGCTGGGATTACAGACATGCACCATGATGCCTGGCTGCTTGGCTAATTTTTGTATTATTAATAGAGATGGAGTTTTGCTATGTTGGCCAGACTGGTCTCGAACTCCTGACCTCGTGATCCGCCCATCTTGACCTCCCAAAGTGCTGGGATTGCAGGTGTGTGTGAGCTCCATGCCCACCCCTTCTTCACTTTTAAAAGATAATTTTACAAGGTAGAGAATTCTAGGTTAGTAGGGTTTTTTCCCTCCTTCTCAATACTTTAAATATTTCACCCCACTCCCTTCATGCTTACATAAATACTAAGGAGAAGTCAGCTCTAATTCTTACAGTTGCTGTTCTCTAGGTAAGGTGCTTCTCGCCTGTGGCTTCCTTCAGGATTTTTTACCTTTGATTTTCTGTAGTTTAAATATGATATGGCTAGGTGTAGTGCAA